TTTTTTTCCTCACCAATAATTACTATGTACCATGCATTTTCCACTTACCTTAAAAGCAAAGTTAAAATGACATATATTTGTGTGGAATTGTGTGTTTAGATTAGCTAACTTGGCAATTATGTCTCATCTTACACTTGGCTAAGTAAGGAAGATAGCTTTTACTACTAAATTAAGCTCACCAATAGTTTATATTATTATATGGGTGGTAAATGGTAATTGAAATCTTTGATTAATTCCAAAGCTAGCATCATGTACCATAAGAAGAAAACTGAAAAGAGAAAAAAAAAAAGAAGCTAAATCACCACAAAATGATGAACATAATTGATTGCAAAAAATAACTATATTACCACAAAGATTGGAATATTTCTTAGAATCCTATAAAAATCAGAATTCAAACTTCTTGTTCTTACAGAAAATGCAATTAAACACCACAACTTTTATGCTATATACCTCATTTTGGACAAATATCTCATGCCTTGAATGCATGTCAATTTATTTCTCAGATTTTCTATTCCATTTTATTGTATTTGATGAATATAATACAATATTTATAAATGTGATATGTATCAAATTGAACAAGAAATGAAAAGTGAGATCTGATTCCGGTAACTTTTGCAAAAGAGAAAAAATAAACGAAAAAGAAAGAAAGAATATTGAAGGTGTGATTAATTAAGGAACCTTTAGAGGTAGAAAAAATGTTACAAAAAGGAAAATCTGTAATAAATATTTTGTGTTGTGCCCAAGAGAACTGTAGATAAATGATTAGCAGCTGAAAAATAAACAAATTAAATTTCCCATCCAATCATTAATTAATTTTACTTAATTTGGATTTGATCCTCATAATTTGATCAAGGCTAGTCAATTAAAAGCTAATTAAAGCAAGACCGAGAGAAAAAACTTAAAAAAAATAAAATTAAGCAGAAATTAAGAAACTAATGACTACTGATTAACAGACATTTCCTAAACTCCCCAAAGACTTGCTTGTTCTCCGGCTAACTAAACAGCTTAATTATTATTACTCATTGGTAAAACTCCGGCAAAAAAAGGATCTGAGAAGAAGAAGATGAGCCATTTGTAAGTTTGTACCAATCGCTTGAGCAGTTGTACCTTCAGGTGAACTCCGGCAAAAAAGGGTTTAAGCAGAAGAAGATGAGCCATTTGTAGTTTTGTACCAATCGCTTGAGCAGTTGTACCATCAGGTGAACTCCGGCAAAATGGGGGTTTAAGAAGAAGAAGATGAGCCATTTGTACCAATGGCTTGAGCAGTTGTACCTTCATGAAGACTGGGTTTGACGTCAGCACCATTTCCCTCATGGTAGTGGTGGTAGTTTGCGCCGTTTCCGTTCGCGGCGGCGAATGCCGGCGGTGGATTGTCTTTCTTGGCGAAGTTGTTCTTGTTGTTGTGCATCCACACCTTGAAAACCCCTCTGTCGACTCCGATCTCGCTGCAGAACTCGTTGGTGGCTTCGTCGTCCCTCCGCTGCATTTTCCAGCCGACTTTCTCGGAGAAATCGAGCATCCTCTGCTTCTGGTAAGTGGTGAACTTCGTCCGGAAGCGTTTCCGGCCGCCGGAACTCATTGCCGGTAAGGACGCGCCGCCGGAGATCATCGCTGGCGCGGACGGGCCGCCGGAGATCGAGATCGGGGCGGCGCCGTCGGGCGGGGGGGCGGACTGGCCGCCGTGGCTGAGGGCCAACAGCACGTGGGGCGCCGACGGGAAGTACGACGAGGAGATTGGCGGCGGGGACGGGGATTCGTCTGGGCTGCCGCTGCCGCTGCCGCCGCCACCGCGCGGCGGCGGGGGATGGTGGCGGTGGTGGGGCTGGTACTCGAGGGCCGGCGCAGCGGGTGGTGGCGGCGGCGGCGGCGACTCGTCGGGGTCGCGGCGGTGGAAGTTGCGGTGGCAGCCGCACGCGGCGCACCTCAGGGACGCGGGCTCGGCGGGGTTGGAGGCCGGAGAGGGCATGAACTCGCCGCAGCCGTCGAGGGCATGGCCGCCGAGGCTGGCGGCGTGGTTCTTCAGGCACTCCTTGTAGGTGACGACCACCGGGTGGTGGTGGTGGGGGTGGTGGAGGCCCAGCGGCGCGTGGCGCTTCAGCACACCGTTGCTGAAAGGCGGCGCCTTCGCCGGCGGCTGGATCCGGGCCGGGTTCTGGGCCTCTGTTTCAGGGTCTGGAGTTTTGATGACTGTGGAATTTCCGAGGTCCATGGCAATAAATTATGAAACCCCAATTTTATTTCTTTATTAAAGATTCAATTTTTTTTAGGGTTTTGAGCAGAGAGAAGATTCTTTTGCCAATTAAGAGAGAGAGAAAAAGAAAGAGAGAGGCAATGCTTCTAGTTAATTTTATGATGGGATGAAGAAGATGATGAGACTGTAGATAATAAAAATCTTGGCTTTTTTTTATTTTATATTTTTTATAATTTTTTTGTGGTTGTCCTTCTTGGCTAGTGGTTACCATGGGTTTGCTTTTTAAATTTTAACCCGAGTTGTAAAATTAATCATGGTTTAACTATGGTTACTCCTAAGGTAGTCCAATTTGGGATGTGTTTTGTCCTGTGAAACTCATAAATGCTGCTGCTTTGCTTTCTACCACTTTCAAGTTTCACACACATATTGGATCAGATGGAGTTAATTATTTAACATGTCTATGTATTTTGATTTTTCGGTAGCAAAGACCAAATTTTTTTGTTTTTCCTAAAAATTTTAGATTTGAGAGCATGCATGAATTAAATTGTTTCTTATCGTTTATTTTCAAAATTATCTTACGGTAAGTTGAATTTATTAGTGTAACTCAAACAAATTTTATTACTTTAGCTGCACTAATTCATACAAATATTTAATATAAGTAAAATAGTAGGATTTCTGTTAGGTAATCAAACCATTAAGAAATTATATTTATTTTACTATTAATAATCATACTTACACTCTCACACTCAAATATGTTAACTTAAATTGTAATAAAAGTAAAATTATGACATTCTATTGTAAAAGTATATTTCTTGTACAAATTTAATTCTACCTAATAATTTGGTAGCTTAACAGCAATATTTGTGTAAATAAAATAATGTTAGACACAAAATTATATGAATCATTTATCCACAAACATGCATGGAAATTCTATTTAAACACACACATGTAAATAAATATATATAGAGAGATGCAAGAAATTTGGGCACAAGCCTATTAACTAAATCATGTAGTGTACTTTTATTTTAATTTTAATGTGAGGAAGATGCACATGCCCACGCCATAAATAAAATTAATGTTGTATTTTTAACCTTAGTTAAAACATTAATAAAAAAATCTACCAAAAAGTAACAGAGTTAATTAGTACGAAGGTTGCGTGAGAGAATTTGAATAATTTTCTTTAACCCACATTTGACTTGAAATTAAAACAAAAGGCAGGGTTGTGCAGATCTGCCATTTTTTTATTACTGAGCTTATCTTAATTTGTCAAAGTTGCCAAACCCCACAACCACCCCTAAAACCAACTTTACTATTTTCCCCTCCTTCTCATTCTCCAATCCCCATATTGCCCCTTTTTCTTACAAAAATGAAATAATATAAATATATTTTTTTTCGGATTTCTGTTTAAATTGTTAAATTCTTCTACAAGACACTTTTATTATTCTTTTTAACTCTAGGTTTAAAAATTGCAAAATAATAATAATAATAATAATAATAATAATAATAATAATAATAATAATAATAATAACAAATAGATTAATCGGCGAATTCTTCCAATATTTTGACATCATAAATGATTTAATCAGTCATCTCACTTTTTAGGTTTTAATTGACTATACTTTATTTATCGAGTTGGTCTGTATTTTTTTCAATGTTGTTTAGCTCGATTCCATAAGGCTCAACTCGGCTAAAAAAATAACAAATTCCAAATATCGATTGGAATTTAAAAAATTTATTCAAACAAAAAATTTCCTTAAACTTGGCTCGAATCTAGTTTGAGATACTGATATTTTTGTAAACTATGCTCATACTAGCTTCGCTATCCAAGCACTCAAACTTGTAATATACATGTTCCAATTGAAGTTTGATACTTAGAAATGCTTAAACTCAACTAGCGCTCGATCGAGCTCATGCTTTGGCGAGCGGCTCGTGAGAATTTCGACATTTTAAGCATTAACTGACACACACCACTAATGGTCTGTTTGGATATAAGTTATTTTTTATTTAATTAAATTTATTGGATAGAATGAGTTAATTTAAAAAAAAAATATTTGTTTGAGTGGGATTTTGATTTTGTATTTAAATAATATTTAAAATATAATAATTAATGTTGATGTGATGTAAAAGTAGAATAGATGTGATTGAAAGTGATGTGTAGTTTAAATTATGGGAGTGAAAGAATAGTAAATTAAATTTGATTTAATGTGTGAGTATAATTTATTTATATTATTTTAATTATATCAATAATATCGAGAAAAGTTAGATTAAGTTAAGTTTAAATTAAAATTTAAGTTAAAAATTTACTTGATCAGTTATATCGGGATATTTTGTATTCATTCATGCTCTAATATTACAAGTATGTTCATCACAAGAAACTGATAGTATATATGATTACATGAGATGTAAAAATTTGGAAATTTGTAAATTGTAATATATTTGTCTTGAGGGGGGTAAATATGTCATATTGGTGAATCCATGTGGGCAATTGTTTTTTTTTTTAAACGACTTTTGTCTTGTAACAATAAACTTTTTTTTTTTTCTCTAACAACTCATTTTAATATTTATTAAACTAAATCTTGTCCCGGATNAATCTGTCTCTGTTTAACAATTATAAAAAGTGTGATTAAAGTAACACTTCTTAATCACAGCCATTTACAGCAACGTGTTGAAATTAAAACCTCCCTTTTCCACACGTGTCTTTAATAAGTACTAGTATGTAACTCATACATACACAGACAAAGTTATTGAATGAGTCATTTTCATAAACTCTTTTTCGTTTAAGCCTAAAAATCATTAGACTTGAATCATCTATTTTCTATCTCTTTTGATTAATGTTCTTTTAGACATAAAATTAAATATGACCATGATAAGTTGATAACGCTATCCTGTAAATTAATTAATATATTATCTCACGAATACATTTATCTAATATAAATATATTTATTCATTGATATAAGAGAAAATAACAATTTTACTTATTCAAGTTCACCATATAATACTTACTTATTATTTTATTATAAACTTTTGTTGTCCTATAAGTTCATTATTTTTTATAAAAGTTGTTAACACAGTACGCCTTTCTTTCTATGTAATGAAAAATATTTAATGCACGTTAGTATTATTTATTTATGGAATCAATTTAAATTGTGTAATAAATTTAAGATTAAACAGTGTATAAATATTTTACAAAATATACATACATATTTTTTAGAATTTAATTTTGTATAGTAATTAAGCAACTTTGATTCATCAAATGCCGAAAACTCAATCCCTTCTATAACCAAGAGATTTTTCTAATTTGCATTATAAGACTTTATAGTTTATCTAGTATAATTTGCAATGGAAATATATTTTACAAGAATTTCATTATAGAAAGAAACAAAAAAATGATAAAAAAAATTAAATATGATTGACACTAATATACAAATAAATTATAAATAACAGTTAATAATTATTATATAATTTTCAACAGAAAACATTATTTATCCAATCACATATTCTAACTATCAACTACTTTTTTTATATCAAATTAGTTCTAATCATTATATTTTTATCTCGTATTTATTTTCAATGTTAAATTTATCTCATTCTTAAAGAAATATTTTTTTTTTCATTTCATTTTTCGTACGATACAAAACTTTTACAATAAAGCGTATCAGTTTTGCTATATGGAGCCATCAGATGACACGACTTATGGTGTCATCTGCACTTATTTACATAGCCCTTGTTTGCTTTTCAGGATGAGATTGGACTAATTTAGTTCAATGGGGAAGGATTGTACTGTTGGAATTGGACTATTCCTGTGTTTGTTATATATGATAAGGGGGTAGGATAACTTTAAATTAAAAAAAAAAAAAAAAAATGTGTAGGTGGTATAAAATACTGTTTTACCCCTTTCAAATAAATTAAAAACAGTCTAAAAATTATTAAAATGAGGGTAAAATATAAATTTACTACAACAGGATAGGAATAATCCCACCTATTTCCTGGGATTAGTTTATCCCATGTACGAGGGATTAAGCCATTTTTATACCGGGCCGATGGGATTCCTACGGGCTTTAGTCCCATGAACCAAACGCAGGATTAGGTCTGGATTAAGTGGGATATCCTGCCTAATCCCACCAAACAAACATGCACATATAGTATATTGACACATGTCCTACAATAAATACACTTTTGACAAGTGTCAATGCATTAAGTGATGGATGACTCACTAAGAAAATCATCCGATGGCTAGATTTCTGTAAATCTTATACTCAACCGCACATTAATTTTTGAACGAGCCAAGCTATTTAGTTTGGCTCTGCTCATCGAGACTGTAATTCAACCCTACTCATTTATCGATCTCATTTAGCTAACTAGTCGATGCACGTTAAGGGGAGTGTATTCATTTGGATTTTTAAATACTTTTTAAGACTTTAAAAATACTGGTGTATTTAGTTTAGACTTTTTAGGACGTTTAAAAGTCTATGGGTATTCATTTGAGATTTTGAGGTTTCTTTCTTGAGGTACTTAACTTAATTAAGACTAAAATTTGTTAAGACTTTTTAGATTTCCTGAAATTTTTAATTAAAAAACTTTATACAAAATCTCACTCAAAATCTCAACCCCAAACTTCATAATTCATAGGATTACTCCAAAATTTAAAAATCTTAACAAGTTTCAAATCTCAAGGTCTCAAAATATCTCTAAGAATCCCAAACGAATACACACCTTAAGTTCGAAAAATATGAGTTAATTTTTACGTAATTTTTCAGACTATCATTTTAGTTTTGTTCGTAAAAAACTCAAATTTAACTCATTAATTTTGAATTAAATGCATAACTCGCTCCGTCTCTCCCAAAAAACCCCAATTCGCCGAACCCTACCTCCCGTCAATCTCCGCCGCTCATAGCCTCCTTCTGCCGCCGCCCGGGTCGGCGGTGGACGGCTTTTCACTGCTCTACCATGTTCCAGTCAAGGGGCTCTATTTCTTCCGTCGATTGCTTAGGGATTCAAAAGGCCTCTCCGAATCGGACCGCAAAAGTGGTTGAATCTGGGCTAGGTCCGACGACGTCCCGAAGTAGTTTAGAAGGAGGAGTTCTGGGTCTGGAGATGGTGGTGGCTTGGACGGCCTATGTTCTCTCCGAACTGAGGCGGTTCTGCTGGCCGGTTCCTGAGTCTGTACTCAATCTTTTCCTCCAATCGGGGTCGGTGTGTGTGTTCTGGTCGCCGACATCTTGGTGTAGCTGGGGTGAGGGGGTCTGGGTATCGTCTAAAGGGCTGGGTGGAGAGTGTCTCGCTCGTCTGGGTTATGTAGGTTCGTTGGGGCTTTGTATCCATTTGATCTTCTTCCTTCCTTGTTCTCTGATTCGGAGACCGAGGGAGGCCAACCGTTCTCGATTTTGGCTAGTGGTGTTAGTCGACTTCGGGATGGTGTCGGACTGGGCTAGTGGTGTTAGCCGGTTGGAGGGCGATTGTGGCTTCATACAATCGTAGAGCGGGTCGATTCTTTTGAATTGGTTCGAGGTTCAAGTCCTCGTCTTTGCTAGGAAATAGGCATTGGCGGGCGTGGTGCGTGTGCTTCGGTTCTCGCCGTGGAGTTGGCCTATGTCTGCTGGTTAATTTGGACGTGCTGCCGAGGGAGGGCCTCGTTTTTTGTTTTTTGTTAGTCTTTGTTGTGTGTTTTTTTAGTGTGATTTAGTCTTGTGTTTTTTGTTTGAACCGTTGGCCTCTGTACTGCCTGAGTAGTGAGTAAGAATTACCCTATTGGGACCGTTTTCTCTCATTCTCCTCTTGGGAGCCTTTTGATTTCTGTAGTTTGTTTGTGTGTTAGTGTGTTGCCGAGTAATTCTAGCATTGCTAGTTGGCGATTCTAAGCGGTCTTAGGACCTGTCCTCCCAATTTTCTCAGTCGTTGGTTGTATTATTACCTTGCACATTTGTGCGTCTTATTAATATAAATTCTATCGTTTCGAAAAAAAAAAAAAAACATTAATTTTGATATCAAATTGAGCTCAAATTTGTTTATCAGGCTTGGTGGACAACGATTCTCAACGTCTTTCCACAATATCGATTTATAAGACTCAAAAAATTGAATAATACTCATCAACGACATATTTTTATATAAAAAATAAACACCTGTATCATTGAATATCAAAATAGAAGTATTGGTTTCAGGTCATTATGCCAGTTAGTGCCAAAAATATTAGTACAACTGTTAGACTGTACAAATTCAGTGCCATCAACAGCAAGTTATTTTTTGTGATAAAAAAGTTGAAATAATTATATATTATGCGTAAGTGTTTTGGTACTGTTAAAACAGCTTTTTTGACCAGGTAATGTGTGACCTATTCAATCAGTCTCAGTAACCGTGCAAATAACTTTTACCGTGGATGTGCGCATTTTTTACTGGCAGTAATTTGCCACCAAGCTTGCGAATGTCTTCGCCGCATTTCAAGTTCTCGGAAACCAATAAGGCTAAATTGCAAATTTTGGTCATGATAATATATTATAAAGATAGCAATTTAGGTCTGTCAGCGGATATATAATAATTTAAGTTCTATAATTTAAAATTTTGTTGCAATTTCAATTCTTTGACCGTTAAAATTTTAATTTTGGACGGTCAAATAACTGAAATAGTAGCAAATTTTTTAATAACAACTAGTACAGAGCCCGTGCGATGTACGGGGTGCACAATTTTAAGGTTATTTATCCAGACTTATAATTATATGCATGAATACAGAAAAATGTACGGGATATATATAGTACGTGACCCGTGCGAGACACGGGATATGTTTATTTGAAAAATACTATATTATAAGATGCAATATTCAATAAAGTTTTATAATACGCAGGAAAATTGTACAATAAGATAGTATTCGACAAACAAACAATCATATATTATTAAAGACCTCCTTGTACACAACATTATGAGTTTGATTTTCCATACAATAATAATAAGATTTTTTGTAAAAAGATAAGAAGAAATTTTCAATCTACACAAACTTTAAACATTAGATGTGTTTACTTAAATCAATGGCTATATAGACAACTAAACCCTTCAATTTAGGCTTGACAGCTACTTTATTTATGGGTGACGTAAAATAAGGATTTAATTTTGATCCATTAAATCTTTTATCATAGGCTTGACATATAAAACTGATTTGATGGGATTTTCTTAACTAAACCGATGTTATGGGATAAAACAAATCTATACTTACCTTTGACTTTTCCAGCAAAGGTAAAAAAATCGGTTCTAATTTTTATCCCATAACAAATCTTTAATGTCAAGCCTATAAATACCAAAAAAAATTTGTAATTAATATCATTTTATTTCCAGCAAGTGTTGTAAATAATTTTCCGGAGTAGAATCTAAAGATTCGAACACCGGGTCGTGTCTCACGAGGAAGGTCAGCCGGAATAAATTGCACGTCTATTCAACCACAAAAAGGGAAAATAAAGGAAATGAAATTCCTAAACATTCTAAATCAAAGTTTGGTTGATTTTTGAATTATCAACTACTGCAAGATTTAAATGATCAATAAAAATAACAAGCGAAGAGGAAGAACAAATAGGATTTAAAGAGCTAGGGAGTCGGGGATATCAGTTTTGGTTCGAAAATGCAATTATCAAGCAAGAGATTGTTCGGTTAAGTGATTTGAATAACCGGCACGTTCAAGCACTCATTCTCAATAACTCTTCGTAACAAGAGAACAAACTTAAACGACAAGTTAACAAGTCATTTAACACCTAGGCAATACAATTACGAACAAGCCTAGTTTATACGAGCCTATTTCGACCGACTCCTCCCCTTTCGGTTCTAAAAGTCGCTAATTCAACTAGAAGGTGTTTAATCAACTAATCATATAAAACCAACAAACCCTAACTCGACAAATTAACATTCAGTTGATACCAATTGCAAGATCGAAGTGTCACCCTTCGATTATATCAAGTTATCAAGTAAGAATTAATTAACTCTAATTAAAGCAACTCGCACAAGCAGGAACAAATTAAAGCCCAATAATAACGAAATTAATCAAGAACAATCATCCCCTATCCCTAGCAGAAGGAATTAGCTACATAAATCAAATTCAACAAATATAATCATTCTACTCAAGTCAACCATTATTCATGAATTAAACAAGAGAAAGAAATACTTACAATCAATCCAAGTTTAGATGTTGAATTCGAGTTACAAGCTTAATCCCTAACTAAGAAAAAGAAGAAGAAAAATGGAAAATAATGATTAAGAGAAGAAAAGGAACGAGGAAGAAGAAGAAAGAAAAGAGGAGAAAGAGATTTTGTGTTCTCTCGGGACCTAGGGTTTTCACCCCGGTCGAGAGGTGTTCAAACCTCGCCAAAAACTCCCTAAAAACGAATCTGAAAACTGCTTTTAAAACCCTGCTGTCGCGACCTCCGCGGCCGCGACCTGATCCCGCGGCCGCGACTTTTTGCTGCTGAAATTTGGGACCTGGCTGTTTTTGTTCGCCGCGGCCGCGGCGAAGAAAATCCCGCGGCCGCGGAGACCAAAATCTGCACTGCACCATCTTACGATTTTTGCTCGTTCGGGTTCGTTTTAACTCGGAATTGAGTTCCGTTTTTTCCTACGCGTAGCTAACGAATCCCTCTATCCAATGGTGTCAGCTTCCCCACAAGATTCTCGAAAACCGGTTCTCCCGAAGCTCTTGACCATCACACTAGAGACGTTCGCATGCGACTTCACGCGGCTTCACGCTTTGGCTCCGTCCGGGTTCATCCGAACTCGAATTCTAATTCCGCTTTTTCCTATGTGTATCCAACAAGTCCATCTACACAACCATGATTACCCGGTCTATGTTGAGCTAAATCGGCTCCTCACGAGACTTTCGACCTGCACACCAAAAACAAGAAGAAAAAGGAGAAAAACACACGAAAAACACAAAGAAAACAAAAATGGAACAAAACACATAATAAAACACAAAACGGAATAAAAACTCACGAAAGGACCTAAAACGGGGGAAAAAGATTGATAAAACAATAACGAAAAATACAACAAAAATGGGACAAACAACTCCCCCACACTTAAACCTTTGTTCGTCCCGAACAAAAACAAAAGAAAAGAAAAGAAAACAAGACACGAGCATGGATATCAATTTCATACAAGAAGAGCCTCAGAAATATTTAACTCAACCGGGTTGAATTCCAACGATTGTACGACCATATGCCTCAAATATCAACTTGGCCTCAAAATGACAAACTCTCAAATACAGAAATATTAGTGTATGCCTCACTCATTCTTTTACATGAATATATGATAGGTTCTCTCAGATTGGTCAATATTCAAGTTTCAACATATGCTTGCCAATCGTTTAAATTACTCAGAAACAATCAAAGCTCAAACTTGCGAATCAAGAGGACTTCACGGGTTGTAATGTAGGCTTAAGGTAAAGGTACAGATATATATGGACAAGAAGCTCAAATAAACAATCAAGGTTCTCGAGTAAATAGATTACTCGAGTTCTCCGCCACTCATCCAGAATAATCATGACAACACACTTACTACCCAACCAACATTCCACAAACAACACATAGATGCTCAGAACAAGTTGCAACATCATCACTTAACCTTATTTTTTCTTTTTCTCTTTTTTTTTTTTTTTTTTTATTTGGAGAGTAACTTTTTCCCAACAAGATTGAATCAAAAGGACAACATTCTGTAGGTGTGAACATTGGAGGTCATCCAAGTTTCCTACAGTAGTTTCCCAATGCTCATTACCTGTCAAAATGAATCGACTAGTAAGAGGAGCAGAATCCATTGATTCGTCTTGTGAACTCTCAAAGTTTTTTTTTTTTTTTAAATGGTCAAGTAAACAAAATGCAACTCAATGTCCACCATATTCAGAAATGCCACCAATCACCCAATCATCACACAAATCAGTCAACAGGTTGACAAGAAAAGGCTTTAAGCTCAAACGGGCTACTAGTGGAATAATAAATAGGACCAAAGAACAAGGCAGAAGTGAGCTAATCAAACAAAGCGCCTCAATCATATTCGCAATTTTAAACTCTAATTGATTCCTTTCAAACAAACTCAAGGCAAGTTCTAATCATTCAAGAATATGACCAATATCTCACAAGAAAGAAGAGTTAGGCTCAAAACCTCACAAGGTAAATAAATGTCACTCAAAGCAATCAAGCAATATCGAGGCAATGATCAACACAATCGTCATCACAACTTCCCAATTTCATCAAACATCCATCAACAAATCATATAATCCACCAATACCATGCTCAACAACACAAAAACCTAAACTAGCCCGGCCCACCACATAAGCATGCAAAAATCCGAATAACTCCCCCACACTTAAAATGAGGCAATGTCCTCATTGCTTCAACACGAAACAGGAATTCAAATAAAGGACCTAGCACTTTCACATAATGAACCAAACTTAGCAACTACGACAGCAACACAAGACTCAAAAGCAAAGACAGAGGAAAGAACAACTCAAAAAAGATAAAAAGAGAAAGAAAAAGGGTGTGCAAACCGAAGATGCTCCGAGGAGAATAAGCATCCACATACGAGCTACTCGCCCACGCACCGCTCTGGACCTCGATGTTCGTCCTGCTCAAGCTCGCAAACTTGTACCTGCCAAGAAAAACACAGAAACTCCAAACTCCAATTATTAAAAGATAAAATAAAAAGCAAAAAGAAAATAACTAAGAAAGCAGTAAATCACTTGGGTTGCCTCCCAAGAAGCGCTTGTTTAACGTCATTAGCTTGACGAAACCTGTGAGGAACTCAGCCAGGGTCCAAAAAGAAATGGCGATCATGCCACGCCTTCGTATTTTCCAGAAGTGGCAGCATGGGAAGGGTGGCAAGAAGGCGGGCATGGTGGATCCGGGTGGCTATGTTCTGTATGAAGTGGTCTCGGGCACGAGCAATCCCCAATTCTAAACGCAGAGCTTTTCCCACCCGAGCTCTATCGTCAATCTCAGGAATAACGAGCAAATCCGTGGAGCAAGTCGAGCTGACTCTAGCCCACTTGGTAGCACAGTGTGACTTCGAAGGTGAATGCTCCATCTCAGTAGCAGGAGGAGGGACTCGAGAAATGGTGATGTGATCAAGTCCATGAATCTCCCCTTCCGAAACATCGTCATCCCAATAGAGAACATCATCTTCCTCTTCGGTCTCACACATGTGCATCGGAATACATGTTTGGGCACCAACCATAAGATGAGAGTCGTCGACTTTCAACTCGATAGAGTCGAGACG